GTGTATGATTTCTAGTTAATTTTCCCACAAATAAAATAGCTCTTCTTTTAAAAGGGTAAAACTAGATGTCAAATAAAAAATATTAATCCTATAGAAGAAAACAATGAAGGAAAATTCATAAAGAAACAGGCAAAATAAAATTAGTGACAGAAAGTCTAAAACTAGATTCAGAGAAGTTTGAGACAAGAAAGCAGGAAGATGGAACAGTCGCCCTTTGGTATCCACAGGGAACTGGCTGCAGGACCCCTACGGAGACCAAAATCCACAGGTGCTTTAAGTCCCTTATATAAAGTGGCATAGTATTTGCATATGGCCTACACACAGCCTCTCGTATACTTTAAATCATCTCTAAATTGTTATGATTTGGCAAAATCAAGTTTTGCTTTTTGGAAATTTCTAGAAATTTTTTTCCTGAATATTTTCAATCTCTAGTTGGATCTGTAGAACCCAGGGATATTGAGGGCCAACGGTACAATGCCAACTGGACTCAAGTCCAAAAGGTAACAATGTAAGTAAACACCCTGAGATGGGTACTAAATGGGAGATGAAAAGGGAGATAGTTTTCAGCTGTAATATTCACTTGATTTTGCATACTTTTTTCCTTGAGAAATTAGGAAGACTCTGAAGCAGTGATTCCCCAAACAGATATCTTAGAATCACATTTCTCTGAAATGCTCTCTCAGAGAGAAAGTGATCCACTCTTAAGCAGATTCACTAGTGTTTAAAGGCCCTGAAAGGTCCCAAAGCAAAGAAAACCGCTCATTTTTTCTCCAGCTTATTTGACCATGGAATGCAATTTTATGTAACACCTGTTAACATTTTCTAAAGACCCTCTTTTATAAAATTTTCTCTTAGAAAATTAGATCAGATTATTAGAAATAATAAGTTTTGAGATGAGCTCAGTATGTTTGAAAAATTGTCTGGCAAAAATATCCTGATGCCCATTTCTTCCATTTATATACAAGGTTGGACTTGCTTTCTTTAAAGCCTCTTCCAAATACAAAATTATATAATTCCAAAATGCTTAAGAGCAGATTTGACAGTCACAGCCCTATTTAATTTTTAGAAAAATCTGAACTGGCTCAATCAAGTGCTTATAAACTTCCACTGATTAGATAAAATGTCTGTAACTCTTTTAATATTTTCTGAATTTTATATGTATATATAATATATAAAATATATTATAATATATAAAATATATTATATATATATATTAATGTACAAATATTCCCTGAGTGAATTATCTGCTTAGGGAATTTTTTTCATTGACCCCCATGGTTTCTTGGTCTCTTTGATTATGTCTAACTATGCTAAAAAGCTAAATTGAAATTATTTTCTTATGTAACTCATTTTCTTTCTCCTTTCCATTAGCATAGATAATCAAGAATTCATGGTATTATGGATTTTTAAATGTCAGAGATTGTAAAGCTGTCTTGTCTATTACAGTAAAAACTTCATTAAGGGCTATCATGTATTCAAAGTAGAGTGTAATTCAAAGCAGCTGCACATCCAGCTCCCCATCTCCAGATGTACTATTGTCCTTTGAATAAACACATCAGATAATCTAATGCTCTTTAATTTTAAGCCTCATTTCTAGGTGCCAGAAATTTTAAGGTAATTCTGTTTTAGTAAAGTTATTATATCCCCTTGCCATCAAACCCATCAAAAATGATGCGTTCCCATGCATTTCACAGGGCTGGCTCCTACTGGAATGATTATTCAGCCCTCGGTTATATCTTTCCCAAATGTATATATATTTTAGCCTTGTACTTTAGAAACATGTCAAATGATAGTTATTCATTTTTAAAGATTTTTGGTCATAGCAGGAAAGACTCTCCCCTTTCTCATTGAAGGAAAATATTCACATTTGAGTCCATCTTTCCTCAAATTTCTTTTCTTTTTATCTATGAAGTCTGTGTGGTTTTTTTAAAAGGTGACACATATCTACTGAAATGCAATCTTTTTGTAGTTATATGCCGAAAATTAAAATAATGATAGTTTCCTAATAAGAACACATGTGTTCTAATCACTTTTCCTAAATAGGTTAAATTTATGATTGAGAAAAATAAGATTAAGTGACTATGGGAATGATGAGAAACTAATGAACACAAAGTATGTATCTTAAAGGACTGAGCCAGGAGAAAACCTCATGTAAAATATTCTTTTTTTTTATTATTATTACATAGAAGCCAAGGACAACTTAAACTAAGATGAAAATAAAAGCTGATTTCATATCCCTCTTGTCTTCCTTCAAGACGTTGTGTTTTTCTACAGCTGAACTTCTCTGTCATCAATAATTTTGTAAATTACCTTTTACAAAGGGAAAGATAAAACCTATCTTTATGTAAGCCCTTACACATCACAAAAAGACTCAGGAGCGCTCCAAACTTACGGTTTGGCAAACCAACGGCATAGCGTTGAGGGAGGAGAAAAGGGTTAGCAGAAAGTGTATTTAGGATGAATGCCACCCACCATCAAGTAATAGTTTAAGTAGAAAGTAATCAGAGGGAGACCACAGCAGCTGAATTTCAACCAAAGATATTCTAGGTTCAGAACAATAAATAATTTTAATCAGGTATGTTCCAAGGAGCAAATAGGGCTCTAAGCCTCTAACTCAGCCTAGGTAAGCACTGGGAAAGTCTGCCGGAGCAGCATGCACTCCACAGACACGGCACGCACCTGACTTCCCATTAAAATCTGTCGCATCCTTGGTACAGGGAAGCCCATATGTTGTGAAACCTAGACACTACGGACTAGAAAACATACCTAATTTGTTAATGCAGACAGCACCTTTCACCTACATCAGAGCATATGTCACAGGACGAAAGGTGTTATGGAAATGCTGATAATGGATAAAGGAGAGAGACACACATGAAAGCCTCAGCACCTTCCTAGAGTCCTGCCTTATTAGAGCCAAAACTGCTGTATAGTAAGTCTTTTCAGTGTGGTAGTAACTAAACACTCTTGGAAGGGGTCCAATGCGAACCACCTCTCCAGGAGTCTCCAGTGTAGTAACAGGACACTTAAGCTTCCACAAGAACCAGTGTCTACATTTGATAAATAAGTCATTAAGACAGTCTGTAGGATGCTAAAGGAATTACTTTTCTTATCAGGGCACGTAGCCTTGTATATATGCTTCAAGCTGCAATTCATCATTTCAAGGAACTTCTGGCCTCCGTATCAGAGTTTATCATTTGCTGGTATAAGACTGCAGAGAGGCTGATAAGGGACACTTTAAAATTATAATGCATGGAATGAGTTGAAGCCAGAAAGTAAAGGGGCCTGAGTTATTCAAAGCCTTATTCTTCTCCCACTCATGGTTCTCTGATCCTAAAACAAACCTATAAAACACTATACAATAGATGTGCATGAAACAAACTTCTATTCCACCTCCAAATCTTGTGATTCATACTAAAATGAAATTTGCTGATATCAAAAATACTATTCATCTCTTGGGTGCCTCAGCAGCTTCTTAGGAATATTACCAAGAAAATGAACATCGAGGTAAGAGTGATTTGAGTACCTTCAGTATTGCCACCTGCCTTGCCCATTCAACTTCCTTCCAACTCTTGCTTCTCCCACCCTGCTCCTTCATCGAGCTCTGCCCTCAGAGCGGCACTGGAGTAAACAGGGCATTCACTGGTGTGGTCAGCTGTCAGGACAGCCTCCTCAAGTGGCTGGCATATGATGGACAACCCAGAGCAGGTTTCTGTTTCCTTAGTAGAGGCCAGCTCCTTATAGATCATGCTCGTGGTTTTAAGCAGCAAGTGAAATCTGGTTCAGCTCAGACTCTAGCTAAAGACTTCTGCATTAGAAAGCATAATTCACATTTATTGTAAATGTCATCATGCCTGTGAGCTCCAGAGTGTATTTACAGTGTCAGCCTAGGGCTTTCCTTGATGGATGCTTGCATGTTCCTCTTTTCCAGGAGTCCTGCATATCAAAGCTTTGGGAGATTTCTTTCTAGTGATTCTGACAGAATTGATAGAGCAAGCGTGAGGCATGGCCTCGTTACTTGACGATTCTTGGCTATTTTTCAAGGGTTCACTGAAGACAGGCTTTGCAGTTACATTTCCCTTTGTCATGAATGTAGTGAACAAAAAAAGCCTGGTGCATCCTCAAAGCATAGAAACCGAGTTAGTGTCCAGGAAACTTTCCCTCAAGCTGTTAGCACAAGAGAGGCAGGCTGTTAGCCTAAGTTATTCGCCTCACCAAGGGGGCCGTGTTAAGCCATGAATTTCAGTCGGCAGTGATCTGTGTGTTGAAAAATGGGATGAGCAGATTTTCATCGGCAGATTCCAAGAGGTGTTTACATCTATGGCTGCTCACCTCCCTCCCAACTCCTCCCAGGGTGGGTGGTGCAATCCCTATTTGCCCAGATGGCTTTTAAATAATCGAAACACCCGAGCACCTGGTTTAGTTTGGGTTTGCCACCAAGGGACTATCAAGTGGAAAGTGTCAAATATCGTTAACACAGAGACCGTGAGTTAAGAGAGAGTGCAAAATCTGGAGAAGCGACCGTCTACAAGGCGACGGGAGCGCGTGTAGTTCAAGTGTGACTTTTCTCTCTGGTGCCCTGGGGTTGGCATAAAATGACATCTGCCTTTAAGTAAACATGGCTAAAGCCCAGTCCAAGGGAATTTCCGCTGACCGACTAAAGAAACACCGGCACAAGATACCCCAGAGTTGCCCCAGACACCCAGGGCAGGAGGACTCCGGTGGGCGGCGAGGTGGGGAGCTTCCTTTGCTCCACGCACTTTCTCCAGCCGAACCCCCTCCAGGCCTGGGCGCCCTTCTCTCCGATTCTTCCTCTCAATTCGGACTCTATAATTGGGCTGACTCACAGGCGGAATGCGGGATGGGACTGCACCGAGGGGCTCGGAGGGCAGCTGGGGGCCGAGGGAAGGTTTCTAGGCAGCACAGGTCAGATGAGAAAGCTGCGGGGGTCCCAGGAAACATCTGGGCCGGGACCCCGGAAAGGGGGGGACTCGGGCACTCACCTGCTGCTCCGGCTCGAAAGCTGCGAACCGTGTTGCCCTCCCGCAGGAGCTGGGGCCGCAGGGGCGGAGAGCTCAGTTGAGAGGACCCTGGTGTCCGCGCTGTCGCGGCTCTGTCACTGCCGCTGTACCTGTCGTAGAGTCGCAGCATGTGCTCTGACACCTTGTCGTGCGGCTGCAGCAGGGGGTCTGCGCCACCACCTGCGGTGCGGTCACCCGGCACAGCCTTGCGGATCTCCGGGAAATGCTGCTTGAGTGTCTGTCCCCGCGCCAGGCTCACGCACAAGCAGCCCAGCCATAGATAGAGCAGTCTGCGCGTCCCAGCCATAGCGAGGTCCCGGCACCGAGCGTCTGCTGCCGCGTCCCGGGGGCGGGGGAGGACCCTCTAAGGCGCGAGGGGCCCGCGGCAGAGCCAAGGGCTGAACTCACAACTACCTGGTGCAAGGGCGCCCAGAGCGCGGACGCTGCCTGAGCAGGACAGCGACAAGCCCCACTTTTCGCGCGGGCCGATCACGGACCGGCAGGTGGGCTCTTCCCGGGCAGCGGCGAGGACCTCACCAAGCGCAGGGCGCTGCCAGAACCGTCTGTACTCGGACGCCGAAGAGCTGAAGTCGCGGCGTGTGTGGCCGGGGTGTTTTCGGATCTGTCCGTACCCTCTCTCCCCCCTTTATTTTCGGGAACAGCCTGCCGAAGCGACCGCGCTGCGCACGGGGACCAGCGCTGAGTCGGGCGCAGAGCCCGAGCCGGGTTGAGCGCCGCGGGCCGGAGGGCGCTCGTTCGCCTTTTGCAAGGATTGGAGCAGCCGCGGTGCAGCCGGATCGAGTTTTGAATGTGTGTGTGAGTGTGTGTGTTTGTGTGTATGTGTGTGGGGGGGGGGGGAGAAAGAGAGAGAGACTTCGTTCCCTGGCTGATGTGTACAGTCCGCCGCCAATCTCACTATCTCCCTTGCGCTCGCTCGCAGGCAGCTGGGACCCCTCTATAGCCAGGAGCGAAGGGAAGAGGGAAGTAACCGGCAAACTAGCAGGGGAAGGAGGGGAAAGAAGAGGAAGTAGGGGTGGGGGTGGTTGGGAAGAGGAGGGGGTAAAGGAGACGGTCGAGGAAGAAAGAAAGGGCAGAAGGGAGTGGGTGTTATTTTTTGATCCCATCAAGAACTTTGGCTGTTTCCTGGCCAGCAAGCGAGCAGAGGAAAATAAACTTCTTCCTGGATTCTTTCTCCTTTGCTTCCAAATAAAATAGAGAGGTGCACACCATCCTCATTTCCTTTCCTGGGCGTCTCCTGATCCAGGTTGCGGATCCTGATCTGTGCTGGGTTGCCATCTCTCCTTGTCTCTCTGAGAGCTTACCCATCATAGCTCCTTCTCTTCTGCATCTTTACTTTGCATCTCCCTCCTCCTCAGGAGAAAGATACGGTGCCAGTCAATCCCGTCTTAAAACAAATAAACCGACAAGCAAACACACCACAAACACTCACCTACCCCTACTTTCCCCCTCAAGAGGTTTGTCTCCAAGATTGCAGGCCCTGGGGAAACAGAAGGACTTCTGGGAGACGCTGGAATCCACAGCCGGCTTAACTCTGAGATCTTTCCTCACCCTCTCTTCCCTGGGGGTAAAATGGTGACTAAACTATTAGCTAACAGTTTACTGCTCACTTTTCATGCCCTAGGTACTCATTGTTCTTTTTATTTCAAATGTATTATCTTCGAAGGAAGCCCATTTTACAGATGAGGAAACTGAGACAAAAGGATACTCATGGATGGCAGAGCTGAGCTCCAAACTCAGGGAGTGTGGCTCCTGGGCTCAGGTCCTTTATCACCAATCACCACACTATTAATAATGAAACTAGCATGTAAAAAAATTAATTGAAGTATAGTTAGTTACAATGTGTCAATTTCTGGTGTACAGCACAATGTCCCAGTCAATGAAACTACCATTTAAACTGAAGTTTCAATGTCACAGTCCACATAAATGTTCTTAGCCCATTGTCTGGCCTGGTGCAGTGAGGACTTCAGTAAATGTCTGTTTCAGCTTGTCTGTTCCCTAGTGGGAGCACAGTGGGGTTTATGGAAAAGAATATAGGCTATTCGATCACACTGGGCTTCCAAAATTCTGTCTTTTTTTTTAAAAGGTCAATAAGGACACATCCCTTTTAGAGTTTTGTTTGGATGACATTAGAAAACAGTGCTAAAGTGACTGGCACACTGACTAGCCTTTAGGGCTCAATCCCTTTTTATCCCAAACTTATCCCAAGTGCAGACTACATTCTCCGCACTCAATCACTTTTCAGCCCACTGCGGTTTACGTTTTGCCTTTGGCCACCCCTGGAACTGTGCTGCAGATAATAACACAAACTTCAAGGGTGGTTGTGAGGATTAAATGAGATCATGTGTGTGATCTTTGCTTGCATAAAGAACATAATAGCTTTTGTGATTAATAATGAAGACCCAGTTGCAAAATTCAACAGGCCCTGCAAATTTTCTCCCTCTTTGATTTGTCCCTGTGAATCTTCGGTTCTTTCCCTCTCAGTTCTGTGAGCTGCCTTCTCTTTCTAGGCCTGCCTTCAGGGCTTTCTCACATCTTTATACCCTGCCCTGGGAGGATGCCAAATTGAGAAAAAAAAAAATCTGCTTTGGTGGTCACCTCTGACTTTTTAAATATATAGTTCTTGGTCTCCTCCAGCCTCAGTCTACATTGCTAAAATTTCACCTTCCTGCTTTTTGAAACCATCCCCAAGACTTCTCTTCCTTTAGATCAAGTGCATAGCCATCTTGCTACTTTTGCCACTTTGTACTTGACATAATTTTTCATCTGTAGAAGCTGTGCTGTGAGTGCTGGGTTTGACCGTAAGTCTTCAATGCCTACCTTCACTTTTTACTAGATGTATAGACTTTCCCTTCTTTCCCTTGTGCTTCCACTTTCTTATAGGAGTCATAAGTATAAAATAGTAGCTCCTGTTGCACAGAATTGTTGTGAATAATTATTGGACAAGTCTATTTCAAGAGATTCGTACAGTGCCTTGCATACAACAAGTGCTTAAGAAGAATCAGCTATGAGCTAAGAGAATTGCTTGTATGTTTTTATTTAAAGCAGAGGTCAGGCCATATCCATCTTTACATTTTAGTGATCTGCCACTACATTTAGAGTAAACAAAGGGACAAAATGTTAAGCAAGTAGAATAACCCCTAGCCAGAACTCTCACTTGTAATTGTGAGACTGGACAAAAAAGTGTGAATGGAAGCCAGCAAACTGAAGAACGCTTGTAATAGCTACATTCAGGACCAAAAGCAACTCATTTGCAACTAACCTATGCCCAAGATGGAGCAAGGGATGAAACAGATAAGCCAGCAGTATCATGTCCAGCAATGACAAAGAAATGGCCCTCATGCCAGACCTTCTGAGTGACTTCCTGGGCAAATGAGCTGAAAGCAAACTGAACTGGGTAAACTGACAATTAAAAAAAAGTTTAAAAACTTGAATTGGGTATAGTATTTCCCACCTAGAGATGCCATGTTATAACACTTTAAGACCATAAAAGGATGTTTCTTTTATCTTAGGTCATAGAATCTCAGATCTGGCTGGATTAAATTGTCTCAGAATGCTGGCATCATTAGATGCCCTCCCCCCAAAAGGACTAAATATTAGGATTCATAATTCTGGCTGTGCATCTGACTTACCTGATGTATGAAGGATTTGTAGCTGTTCAAAAAAAAAAGGAGCTTCTGGATTGAATACAATGGTGATACACAGTCTGATTTCTTATTGAGTCTGATTAATTAAAATTTGTCTTGTATTTTAGTAGTAGGAATTTCCTATTTTATTTTAGAGAGGACCTGTTACTGTTACAGCCAACCATTGAATCAAAGGACACTTATCAGTCTCTTCCTAAAGACAAGGAGATTTAAAGAAAGCCATCTGTGTAACTTAAAATAACAGCAAACACAAATTTGAAATTTTAGTGGATTCTGTTGAGTTGAGCTCTAATTTTGACCACAAAATCATGTCTGTGTGTGTGTGTATATGCATATGTGTGTGTATGCATACTACACGTCTTCTTTTTAGCTCTCTTAAGCACTGTATACATACATTTTCTAAACACATCCCATTGACAATTAGTAGTATTGAGTACTTACTCAAGTCTGTATCAGCAGTTGTGGGGAAAATATATAAGAAAAATGTGTCTTAGGCTCTGAAGAGTTTACCTTCTAGTGGGTGAACCAAGGAAAGCCACATGGGACAATTAACCAAAAATGGGAGAAGTAGTATTCAACCATGTTTTGGAGACTATGTCACAATTTGCTGTTTCAAACAGTGAAAGGAGGAAATCAACGGGAGATGGAGTAGCCAGGGAAGATTTCCTAGAAGAGGTGAGGTTTTATTTAGCCTTGAAAAATGGGTAGGACTTTAGGCAAGTCAAACATAAAGGATTTGTAATTTAGAAAAGAATAACAGTAAGAGAGAAGTTGCAGAAGTAAGAATGAGTTTACCATGCTAATAAGGCAGTGTCTGATGGGACAAAGTTTGACCTGATCTGAATAGGGCTTGTATGCTGGAGAGCACAGGAAATAGAGATGGATTATAGGGTGGAATGCGTTTACGGAAGGCCTTGAGTGCTAGATCAAGGGAAAAGTAGGGGACCCTAAAACGTTTTTGAGAAGAGAAGGCTTTCTAATGAAGGCCACAACTCTCCAAAATGGTCTAGAAAGTTTTAATAACTACTAAATTTCCTGCCTCTGGAATTATGAAAACATAAGGTAGATAGCGACTGGGAGAAATTTTAGAACTGATTCAAACATCAGAAGGTTGATTAAAGATATTTAAAGCCTTATTAGTTACAAACTTACTTGACTGCAAGGATATATATATAGATAGATAGATATACACACACATATATACCTGATATATATATATGTATCTGATTCACAGTAGCATAAATATATAGGGGTTTATTTTTCCTCTTGTAAGAAATCTGCAGTTAAGGAGCTGTTTGTATTTGTTCAGTGACTTGACAGTGTCATGTCTCATGTTTATGTGACTCATCTTTTCTCTCTTTCTTGCTGACTCAGGGTCATCAGATGGCTCCTACAACTCCAGCCATCAAGTCCTCACTCAAGGAAGAAAGGAGGAGAAAAGGGGAGGCAACCAGCTATACCTTTACCTTTTCACCAAGAAAAGTAAAGGCTCTCTCAGAACTCTGACAGGTATCTCTCATATACCACTGGTCAAAATCTTATCTCACGGCCACCTCCATCTGGGGCCATTCAAAATTTTCTGAATGAGGGGGACTGGGAAATTGAGTATCTTGTCTTGGTCTGGGCACATTTCCACTGCAAACAGAATCTGGGTTCAGTTGTCAAGGAAGAAGGGACAATGGAAAATGCAAAGTCTGTGAACCTTCAATCCATTTATTAGTAGTTATTTTCTATTCTGCCTGTAAACTTGTTAAGTTTTTCTTCATTCTAAAAACAAAACCAAACATCAAAACACTTTTCCTTATCTGTTTCACAAACTATCATCCTATCATTTTCTTTTCTTTGATCTCTTAACTTGTTTAAAAAGTAGTCTGTACCTAACATTTCATGTTCTTACTGCCTAGAATCACATCACTTCATTTTGTTTATTACCTTCTATAAGAGGATCTTTGTTCTCTACTGAAATTTGTGTTAGGTTCTAAACTTCTAAACACCGGTCCAATTGCCACCCCACCCCAAGTCTTCATCCTTATTTACCTTTAAGTGTTCGACACTATTTACCACCCTCTCCTGGAAACTCTCTTTCTTTTTTATGTATATGGCACTATTTTGGTTTCTTCTTGTATTTTTGATTACACATACCTTTGTTTCCTTCACTAAACAAATATTTAGTATC